GAATACTAGAAAATGCAATTTCATCGGGAAAATAACAGAGAAACAAAAAAGCCAAAAGAGCTTGTTTGAAAGTTTAACGAAAACACATGAAAATACATGGCACTAAAGTACCTTGACCAGCTACGAAAGAAGACAAGTGTATTTTCTTCATGATTGCAAAGCCACTCACCGATAGATAACTGCGGCTTGTTTATCCGACATGAAGAATATAAATCACAAGCAACCAGAATACAGGCTATGAAGCCATTCACTACAGCAATCGAGGCGTCAGTATAGCTTCTTTTCCTCGTTCAGCAAAACCAGCTAGTGGCTTCAAACACCTTTATAACAAGCGACCGAGGTAATAGTTTTTCTCCGTTGTTCTTTCTTTTGTAACTGCAGCGAAAATCCAATTTCACAGTAATTTCGACGGCTGTTACTTAAAAATTCTTTACTTTCATTGTCTGGCAGGTTTTTTAGCTGTCCTGCTGTGTAAATTCCTAGAATTTCGATGAGTTTTTAAAAGACGCTACAATGTTTTGATTTTTCATTCATCCAGTCCAGGCGAGACCGTTCGCACGTTGACAGGTTTGATAGATGTGTGACATGTGAATAGCGGAAGTCCCTTGTCTTTTCCGGTTTGTTCTAACAAAATTTAACGAGATTTTGTGGGCCTTTTTAATAAAACAATTATTCCACTCGCGCTTCTTGGATATGAGATGATTATAGCCAACTCAGGGCTACGCGCCCCGTTTGCTATTTACCATCTCATAACCAATGCGCCCTCCTGGAATAATTGTTAAATATAACATGTCATGTTATATAACATATGTCATGTTATGTTATATAACATGTGTCATGTTATGTTATATAACATGTGTCGTGTCATGTTATATGAGATGTGCTATGTTATGTTATAACGTATGTCATGTTGTTTTAACATATGTCATGTTATGTTATATAACATGTGTCATGTTATGTTATATGACATATGTTATATAACATGTGTCACGTTATGTTATATAACATATGTTATGTTACGTTATAGAACATGTTATGTTATGTTATATAACATAAAATATGTTATGTTATGTTATGTTATGACATCTAAATTGTACTTCATTTCAATGCAATTGTGAAAATTCCGTTTTATTTGCTTTGGGTGAGAAATATAAAACTGCACTTATTTATTAAGCAGATCATAAACTTCTCAGTTGAAGAAACCCTCTTTATTTGAGCCATGTGATAGATTCTATTTTTGGTAGCTGTGGAAACGTGTTGTATTTATTTAGGCTCTCGCCCATACAAAGAAGATTATCAGGTATCAAGATTAAGTCATAAAGGGTGTCAAGGGCATTTACCCAGCCCTCTTGCAAAGTTTTCCAGTGTTTCAACTTCGAAGATTTTCAGAGTCGTATCATCGAATGAACTTCATGCGAAAATAGCCAGGCCACTAAGCGTAGTTTAGATTTTTTCATGACGTAAAACAAAACTGTCTCCCTAATCACCTACTTGCCTTTTGAAGGCAACCTCATGTGAGGGACTCAATGTTTCAATTCAGATTGTTGAAATGTTTTCCACAGCAAAGAAAGTTTGCTAAAAACGCACAGTATATAAGAGCTGGGACAGTAGTGGAGTAAGGGGGCAGCGGCACGAGTGAAAGAGGGCGTTCCCTATCACATACGAAAGCTTGTTCAGTCACCCCCGTTAACTTTGTGAGCCTGAATTACTCTCAACAGCAATTTGTTCTAAGTTCCGGAAAAGTCATTCTCAGGCTATTCAAAGACATTCACAAGTCGATTTCTTGGAGTGCAAAGAAGAGACAACTTACAGGTAATATTATTATTAGGCCAAGATGGTTCGTTTCTCACTGTGCCCGAAAATCACACTTAAAAAGGAAAAGACGAGGAAAAGTAGCGAGAGCAAGGAAAATAATATAAGCTTGAAATGACGTATTGGCACTTCACATTTGCACTGTTCAGCTGTTCTTAAATCATAGTTTATCAATTTCAGATATCTTCTCTTAAGAAGTAAGATATTTAAATTGAGACATTTTCAACAGCAGCGACAGTTTGGATAGGGAATCCCCCTTATGCTTAGAGCAGGCTAAGAAGACCTCTGAGACTTCCTGCTTAATATTCTATAATTTAACAACAGAGAAACAAAAAAATATTGTAAATGCGAAATGATTTTCCACAAATAACAAAAGAAAAGGGTTGCGAATTCCGCATTCCGGATTCCAGATCCCATGCGTTCCACCAACCCTACAAAAACATGGCCGACAGTCATGACGCTTCCAAACTTTTGTTGCAGATCGCGTGGCCGCGATTCACGAATCAACCTCCCCGGAACAGTGGCATCATGTTCCGGCGAGTATGAACCTCGCTGATGAGGGTTCACGAAGCGTCACCATAGAGCATTTCCAACCCGGATGTCGGTGGTGGTCAGGTCCCTTGCTTTCTGTGGCAGCCTGAACAACAGTGGCCTAATGCTCAGGTGGAAGACATTCGAAGTGATGATAAAGAAATACGAAAACCAGCCACAATCATGTTCACCACTGACACGTCCCAAGTTGATCTCCTACTTAAGCGCTATTCATCGTGGTCCCGTCTGCTGAGAGTGATGTCATGGGTGCTTCACTTTGTCAAGGCACTAAAGAAAGGAAAACCTCAATGTATCGACGGAGGTACACTTACCCTTGTTGAGGTTCAGCGAGCAAACAAAGTAATTACGCGACTGGTGCAGCACCAACATGTCCGTGAAGAGTACATGGCTTTGAAAGAAGACAGACAGGTGAAATGTAGCAGTAGTTTGGCCACTCTTAGTGCGATCCTAACTGATGGCATTATACGTGTTGGATGAAGAATTCACCGTGCGCCGATTACCTTTGAAGCCGCCGTGCCAGTGATTCTTTCAAAGTCAAGCCCTGTGTCTGTATTGATAGTTCGTTACTACCATGTGCTGGGCCGCGCAGGCCGTGAACATGTGTTGTCCGTCCTCCGCCAACGTTACTGGATACTGAGAGGAAGAGCTTTGGTGCGTCAGATCCTGAGCAAGTGTATAAGTTGCCGCAAGCGGAACATGCCTGCCTTACAGCAAGCGATGGCGGACCTGCCAAAGGAAAGGCTGGTACCTTATCATCCCCCGTTCACCTGGACTTCTTTGGCCCCTTCTATGTGAAGCGCGCTCGTAGCGTTATCAAAGTGTGTGGTTGCATATTCGTGTGCTTTAACAGCCGGGCAGTCCACATCGAAGATGTTAGTTCCTTAGAACTATTCTCTCTTTGAACTATTTCCTTGGTGAACTTAGCTTAACTTCGTTTTACAACATTTAGAATCAGTGAGAAAGGCTTTTTGCAGAGCATGAAGTACAATATAGTCAAACTGAACCGGTAATTATTACCCCAGACCATTTAAGTGCAAGTAACTTCAAGACAGCTATGAAACAAAAAACACACAAAATGGCTGAGATCATCAAAGAATTAGTATCAGGGGTTGAAGGCATGCTCTTAAGGTATCAGCCACCCTTAAAATTGCCATTTTTCCATATTTGAGGTTTCAACGTTTTCAAATAGATATGCTTGAGAGCTTTCTTTCAAAAAAAAATCAGAAGAAAAAGATTTTTTCTCGTTAATTATCTTAATTGATCGTTGACAAGATCTGTCATACCCGTGTCATATCAATTAACTTGCCTGTGAACTAGTAACGTGATTCCGCGTGCGTGATTGGACACAACACGTGCGAATTGTCTTCGCGTTGTTTATAGCCTTTAGTATTCTCCGTGGATATTTAGCGTTTGCTTCGGTGAAAATGCCGCCAAGAAAAAAGAAAAGGTCGTGTCCGTTTTCGTCATCGAAACCGAGAGCGAAAAAGAAATCGAATGGGCCGCAAAATTTTATCAGCAAGAGAAGTGGCTCGAGGAGTTGGATATTCAGAAAAGCGAAAATGCTGCAGTTGCTGAGAGTGCAAGCCGCTCCAAAATCCAGCTTGAAGAGCCAGATGAAGAAAGCCAATTAAGCTCATCGACCCCATCTGCTGATGGAACGTGGAAAACAATAAGCGCTCGGGCTATCGTATCGAGAGAAAAGCTGCTTGAGAAACTGGACGAGTCTGTATCTTGTCGATTTTGCCGGGGAAGAGTCCAAGTCATGGAAAATGTAGCGACTAAGCATGGACTTGGTTCTACCTGGAGAATCCAGCGCGAGAATGAAAGCTGTCCGTCGCACAAGACAAATTCTGTTTTTAATTCTTCCGAGAAGAGCAGAGCGTTTGAAATAAACCGGACCTCAGTTCTTGGCCTTCGAGCAATCGGTGGTGGACATTCGGCGGCTTCAAAATTTTTTAGTTTCCTTGGCCTGGCGCCGATCAACAAATCATACAAAAAAGATCGAAGGAGAGGCAAAACTTTTGCTCGAGAAAGAATTAAACCGTGCTTCTCGTGTTGTAAAAGACTGGAAGTTTTCCTGTTACATGTTACCTGTCAAAGTCCTATTGTTAGAGAAAATTGATCCCTCTCTGATATCAATCAGAATAAACATTTAGGTGTTATAATCTCATTCCAGGTAGGATGCCGCCAAAAATGTATTTTCTTTTTTATCTCCGAACGCAAATTTTGCCGATCGACTCGTACGTTTTGAACTCCAAGTCGGCAGCCTTTCAATCAATTTGGCTAAAATTTGGCCAGAGTGATGCCATATATCTCTTCTACAAAACCGTGTCTGCGAATTTTAATACTCCTTTTCATTTTAAAGCTAGAGCTTTTTTTCCACAGGGAGTGTTGACTAATTGCCTTCCCCAACTTCATTTGCTAATAAAAGAAAAACAAACGCACTTGTCAAAAATCTGAGACACGGTTTTTTAGTGGAACATGTTGAGAAGCAAATGCGGTGTTAATTGTTTTCTTCCGTTTATTTCCGGCGGGAGTGGAACATGATTTATAGAGACGTGTACGTTTACACAAAGCGTTCCAATTTCGAAACACATTTGAGTAAATCGTTTTTGTTAGTTCAAATCCATAATCTGGAATTATTAAGCTTTTAAAAAATATATGGTTTATAGGGGTTTTTATAAAAACAACTAACGCTACAGCGATCCGCGCGCGGACGGTCCTGAAGGGTGGCTGATACCTTAAAGAAAGCCATTGATTTCATTACCACCGTTTTCCTTGATACGCGACTTTCGAAAAGAAAACACCCGCGGAAACGTTTCCAAAATTTCCGTCAATCATGCGTGTTATCGAGGTCAGCAGGTCACACTAGTGGCTGTGATTGGTGGATTTCGATCCGATCTGTTGATAACATGCATGATTGACGGAAATTTTGGAAACGTTTTCGGGTGTTTTGTTTTCTAAAGTCGCCTATCAACGAAAACGGTGGTAAATCAAAAGGTAGAACATGGCATGGCTTCAAGGATGACGGTCTCTCAACTGTGTTGCAGGTTGCTGTTGAAAGGAACCTGGGAACATTGGTTGAATGTCTACTGGCATGTGGCAAAGAAGTGAATAGTAGAGAAGGGTGTGGAGTTACACCCTTACATTTCGCAGTTTTAAGCATCACAATGACTACAAATGACTATAAATGAGCCAAAATTGTCACTTATCTCTCTCGAATCTATTGTGTGATGTCTTCTCGTTTGTGACCTAAATTTTAGGTCAGATTCCGATTTTATGAAAAATTCAGTTGGCGCTCCCTTGAAAACTTTACTTTAAGATCCCAGAAAAACATACTGTAACGTTTAAGGACTGCGTTTTGGGAAATTTATGGTAGCAACATCAACGATTTTCAGGCACTACCAAACGCCTTTCCATCGCGATGATTTAACCCTACTTTTGCACGTCCTTGAAGGGCTGCCAAATGTTCCTTCACTTTTTGAGTTTATTTCTTACAGAAATAACCAGAGACGAAAACAGTCCATATATTTTAATAAAGCAAGGCCCCTAATGAATAGTTATAACAAAAGAAGACGGGCTGCTATATTTTGCATCGAACACGATTATTTTGAACATAGTGAAATTTTTAGCTGGCCCATAGCCAAATATGGCAAAATTATTTTTAACGGTTTATTTCAAAAGAAAAGCGTATTTCAAAAAACTAGTTCCATTTTACTGAAGGTAGTACCTTAGCCTTTCCCTGGACAAAAATAAACCGAATCAATTTTGTGTGCCCATGAATTTACGATATTTGTTTGATTTTTACTGACATTCACTCTTAATAACTTTTTTGCAAATGTTGGTAAAACTACAAAGAAGGGGATCCCCGGGGAAGTCATAGCCCATCATTCTACCTTAGGGGTAACTACTCAGGATCAATTTCTTTATGCCCTGTCAGTTCGCATCGAACCTGGACTTTTATTGGTAAAATGGATACTAGCAAGTCTTCTGGCCCATACAGTGTACCTGATACCATATTGAAAACTATTAGAATCTATACATCTTAGCCTTTTGCCTTTTTAGTCAATGATTTCTTTGTTAGTGGTAATTTTCCTGAGAAATTAAAATTGGCATGGATTATTCCTGTTTTTAAAAAAAGGGTCAAGATTTGACAAAGACAATTATAGACCAATTACTGTACTTTCCGACTTCAGTAAATTGTTTGAGAAAGCTACCTATCATCGCCTCTACAGTTATTTGGAAGAATTAAATGTACTTTAACCACTTCAGTTTGGTTTCAGAGAAAAATGTTCGACAACCCATGATCTTATTTGTATCACTGAATCTATTTGTGACCTTCTCCACGAAAACGTACACTAATGGTTTTCCATTAAACGGGTAAAAACTAACGGCTAACCAACGGCTTGTTAACGGCTTTTCTAACGCCTTTAACGGGTTGGCTAACGGTTTGAACGGGTAGGCAAAAAAATCAAACGACCTACAAAAGCGTTCGAACGGATTTGCTGTGATTTTCGTAACAACTTTTTTGAACGTTTCTAACGTGCGGACTAACGGCTTCAAGAAACAATCATCTAACGGTCTAGGAGAACGTTTGATAAAAATCAAACGTTTCGAGTGAAAACAGCTCAAAGAAAAGAGTTTCAACAACTATAAAACATTATACGCGATGAAATCAGTTGTACCTGTCTGATATTTCAAATCATTTGAGTCGTCAATAAAACTCGGGAGACAGACAACACGTAAAATTCAGTTAAAAACCCAATCTTTAAAATTTGTTTATTACTCACCAACGTTCGTCCAAGTCATGGACCAAGTCGCAATGTTACTTCCAATTCTCGGGTTATTTTACTACACGTAGTGCGCAAACATTTATGTGCACGAGTTCGAAGTTTTCGCTCCTGTCTACCACTGTGGCCGTTTTGAAAATAAGCAAGAGCTTTTCTAGAAAGTAACTTATAAAAATGATACATTTTCCCTGTTCTTGATCATATCTTGACTAAAAAAGCGAATTTTTACCGCTACTTGGTTGATTGCTGCATTTTAGGTCAATCGATCCTGACGATGTCGCCGTTCAAGTGCAGCATCGTCATAACAACCACTTGCTCAATCCCAGTCCGCATCACGCCTGTTACGAATCAGGCTGGTTATGAATAGGAAGTTTGCATGCTTTCACTTGCTTTCGCTAAGAATAACATTCGGTCATCCAAATCCTATTGTTTTATTTATTTTTTTTCATAAAAAGACAATAGAACCTATTCGTTTTCATGTTGCTATTAATAGTTTGTTACATACGCATGTAAATGCTCGTGTGTTTACGTGTTCAAATGTAGCCTGAACGACAAAGGCATGAAAGTGTGAGAAAACGTATGTGTTGAAGGTTTTAACCGAGTACAGAGTGGACGATAATCGAACGAATGTGGATCGATAACCTAACAATTATAATTTCAAAGGACATAAAACAGAATAATCAAAAGAACTATAATGCAAATCTAACGACTTTGCCGAACGATTTGAACGTCCTGGAACGAAATTTCGAACAACTTTTTCTAATCTTACTGTTTCAGGTACATGTAAGGAATCACATTAGATCATTCCCATGGATGACGAGTCATTACTGTAGAAAAGATGCTCCACAGAAGTGGTTCCTCAACCCCAACCCCATGCGGATGTATAACCTAATTTACCTTGAGGCCGAGGACCCAGAAGTCCTGTAAAGAGAGAGAGAGAGATAATAAGAGCGAGGCAGGAAAGACGTCCTATCCCCGAAAAACTGAAGCTGGCATTGGGAGAGCACACCTATCGTAAGGTATATAATTCAGAATTCAATTTAAGGTTCGGACTTCCACGCTCGGACACCTGTGCCAACTGTGACAGACTTAACCTCGCACTTAAGTCTGATCCAGGTGACACAGTTGCCCATCAGCAGTTGGCGGACCACCAAGATAAGGCGGACAAAGGGTATCAAAATATGCGGGGAGACAAAAATGCGGCCGTTAATAGCTGGAATGGCTATACCCGTTGTTTAGGCACTGCTGCCTACTGTCTCAAAGACGCCGTGGATATGGTATCTTTCGACTTCATGCAAAACCTTCTGACGCCCAATCTAACTCACAATGATGTGTTAAAATACAAACGCCAGCTCTGGACGAACGTCTTTGGAATACATGACATGGTGGTAGACCCTGGGTATATGTACTTGTGGGACAAGACGGTAGCAAAGCGCGGATCATTGGAGGTGGCCTCCTGCCTTAGGCACTTCTTTGAAATCTATCGGACAGGGGCAAAATCAGTGGTGTCTTAGCCAGACGGTTGTGGAGGGCAGAACAAAAATTTGACGGTCCTCAGTCTTTACAGTGAGCTACATCAACAAGGGGTTTACGATATCCTAGATCATAACTTCTGAACAAGAGGGCATACCTTTCTGAGAAACGATTCAGATTTTGCCCAAATTGAGAAAAGAAAACCCAGTGATTAGTGTAAGGTTGTGGAGGAGGTAAACCGGCGGAACCCTTTTCAGGTGGTACAGATGAAGCAAAGACAGTTCTTTAATAACACATAGAGGCTAAGTATACGAACCGCCACACTGCGACCGACGGTTTAACTTTTAGAGATGCACATTGGCTAAACTTCGGTTGGGGTTTAGAATCAACTCCATCCCTGAACAGGTCAGTGTTTATTCATCACCCCAAGGAGGTGTGTATGAGAGATACCTATTGTGCGTGAGAATCGTGGAGGAAAGTAAAAATATGGAAGGAGAGGGTTGGGGACGTTTCTCCGGAGCAGCTGTACCATGAGCCTATCGTACCAACACCCAAAAGGTACGTGACCTGAAAGAGATGGCTCTTACCCATGTACCTTCACCACGAGACGTTTACTTAAACTTGGCAAACTCCTGCGGTGGCTCTTACCCAGACAATCAAGCCAGCGAAACTAAAGTGTAAAAAAAAAAAAAGTCCTATGATGAAGTCGTGTTATGAAGAGAGTAACAGTGGTTCTGCACCAAAGAGAAAAAAACCCAGTAAAATGACAAGCAGACACCGAAACACAGTGGAATCCATTGCAGGCAAGTCTCTTTTATTCATTTCATTGAAGGAATAATTAGATTTAGCATTGGAAGGTCTCAGTATTTATTTTTTATTCAAAGTCTCTTATTTTCAACGGTCGCCTGTAATAAGACACTGGCGCGTCCACGAGAAAGGTAACGCGTCACCTATGGTAAGGGGGGGGGGGTATGGATATTTTCTGGAATCACACAATGCAAATCATGAGGTACCTCTTTGCAGTACTTCCTAGCAACTGGGCTTGAGAACGCGTAGACGTGTAGTACAGGAGATAAAGGAGATAAGGTACATTAAGTAAAATCTTTCCGTGTTTTAATCATTTAAAATTGAATATTTCCTTTTCGTAAATTGACTGGTCCGCCAAGATTAGCTCTAGCTAGCTGTGGGCCAGTGCACTCTTGCAAAAGCTCAATAAGAGAAATAAGGACTTCATTTCTCTCAGTGCTAGAAACTAACGGTCGTTCACTTGTCTAAAACGAGTAAAATCTGCCAAAAAACGGGTAGAATTTTGAGTTAGTCGTTCTCATGGACGAGTGGAAGTTTTAGCCTGTGGACCTTGGTTTCACATTTGTTAAATCAGCAGGTAACATTATAAAATTGTCCTTTCAATCACGTTGTTTACGCTCATAATTTTCGCATTTACAATCATCATTTTAAAAACGGTGAGGAAATGGGCCGGGTTTGGTTCTCAGTCCACCCTCAGTCGACTCCACTGCAAATTGAACGTCATCCACCTCCGAAAAACATCGTGAAAATGGCGGCCTCTCGTGCTGGGACTTTGTTACGCTATTTCAAAAGTGGCAGGGAAGATGAAGAAAGGAAAGGTGAAGAAAACGCTCATAGAGGTGATTCCCTTCCCAACAAGAGTGAAAAAGGCAAAGAAGGATAGAGACTTCAAACCTGCTTGGAAAAAGGATTTTGCGTGGTTTACACTTTTCAATGAAACCGAAGGGGAAAATGTTTTGCCAGTATTGTATAAATTTTCCAAACAGTAAAAACGAAAATTCGTCTTTCCGCAAAGGAAGCATTAATTAATTTCTTATCGCCAAAGAAACTCAAGATAAAAGATTATACTTTCCATTAGAGTAATTTAAATAGTGAGTCATGCTTTATTATGATTTTTAATGTGTGAATTATATGTTTGTGGCCAGAAGATGGACGGCAGCCAGGACTAGCAGAATTGCCTTCATGACAAGTTGATGCCACCCACTACTAGTCTCAGCACAACTGACTAAAAAAGTTAGTTTCCAGCACTGTCTCTTATTGAGCTACAACAACATCAACAATACTTAGTATTGTTGTTGTTGTAGTGTAAATGTATGTTGTATATAATTTTTTATCCCACGTAATCTTTATTTGTCTTTTGTTTCAACTTCATTAGCATGTGTTACCATTCCCAACAACAAAGGAAAAACAAAAATTACCTGAGATAAAAAAATTAACTACAACATGTAAATTGTACTATTCTTGGTTTGCAACCACGTGACAAGGAAGCCATAGCCATAGCTGGGTACTGACGCATCATCAGTAAGGAATGTCTGCACTTGTTTCTCAGATGTCACGTCGCAGGCAAACCAGTGCTAGCATCACAAAATGTCAGCTGTTTTCTCAGGCTATCATTACTGCTTTAGTTCAATATTAATACATCAGCTGTTGTTTGTTTTCGCTGGGTTTTTTTTCAGGAGGGGTTACCGGTAAGACAGTGTATAATAGCTCTTGTGCAGTTTCCATAATGAGGCCATATGCTGAAGGACTTCAGAATAAAAACAAGAGCTGGGTTCCACAACATCATTACAACTTTCAATATTAATGCAGAGTTTTGTGCTAATACCATATTGTTTTATTAGCATATCTTATTCCACTCCGGCTTCTTACAATTTTGCTAGGAGTATATTTACAGACTTGAAAAACAGATTCAATACTGTTAATCATGCAATCCTTCTAAGCTTAACCAACATGGAATAAGAGGTGTTCTGCATGATTGGTTTAAATCTTACTTAACCCAAAGAGACCAGCTTGTGCTGAAATTGCATGAGGTCCTCTAATCAACAGGGACCCAAGTCAACCCCCCGCTAGGTGATGCAGTTCCTGGGCTTGTCTTTGCTGCACCGGACACCCACGCTTTAAATTTTCCCATTGGCCATGGCCCTCTCTGTCTTCATCTTTGTGACAGTGTGCATGCATGGTGACGATAGCGCGAGAGCAACACAATTCATCCTTGTTTTTGATGGTGATGATGCATCTTTTCTCCTTGTTTTGTCTGTTCGAACACCGACGTTCATGGTTTTTTTTTTTACCTTGACCCGTACCCGGGCCTGGCATGGACAAAAACACCACATCCACTTGGAATCTGCAATTGGGGTTGAAGGACTCTGCTGTTCAGCTCGCCTGCCAACTTGCCAACATTTCGTCTAATTACGCAGTCCGTTGCAAGAACTAACCCACATTAAACTCAGCCGTTTTATAGGCATGAGTAAAACTGTGAGAGGTGAGAGCGAAATTGACTAAATGATGAGCAGGTTGCTATTGTCGTTGTAGTTCAGCCTCAATGGCATTATGCAAGGCTTCGGTCAAGGCTAGCCCAATATTATCCCCAGCCACAGGAACCCTCAGTTGGCGCAACTGAGAGGTGAATTGCACCTGCTCCAAGACATTGCGCCAACAGCGTCATCTCCCATTAGGTTGCATGGTGAATTGACAGCGTGGACCACAGGTAGATCCACCTTCCAGCTGCTCCCAACAATCAAAGGCTCGGGCCAAAATGGCTTCCTCTCCTTCATCACTGAAGTGATAAAACGTGTCCTCCACATAGGGAGCACGGTTCGTCACTGTTGGTGAAACATGAACTGACCGTAGAGGCGCCCTAAATTTTCCCGCAAAAGGGGCTGAACTTTATACAACAACCCACGTGAAGCATCATGATCAAGGATTCGTGGAAAAACATCACACCACCATCACGAGATTGGTGGAAAAAAGAATCAGGTGAGAGGTTTGATCGACAGGAGGAACATTAGGGGTAGACCCCACATGGGTACCAGATTCCATCCACCCGCACCCTCCCTGGACCGAGGGCTATGATTGGCCGACAAAACGATCGATATAGACGAACCCCCTTGACATGAACCAGTTTTGTCAAGCCTAACCATGATCCTGAAATCGTGAAGCAGCGGAAACATGAGTGGTACGTGAAAAATAGAAAAGAGATTTTGAAATAGAAACAGCAAAGATGGGTGGAGAAGACGAAAGCACAACAACTACGAACGAAACTCTCACCCTTCCCTGAGCAGACAGCGAGAACAAGACAACTCAACAGGCAGGGTTACAATAGATACTGGACCAGCCACTGTGGCACAGTGAGAGCGATCGATCGCACTTATTACCACAGGAAGCAAGACAGGATTGTTCGGCAACAACGTGAGCGGCGAGCAGCTAAGAAGAGCCCCTTTCGTAAATTAAAAGTTACAACTTCAGGTTTTTCACTAGATGACGCGATTGTTGGACTGGTGAATTGCGGTCCTGAGCAATCTAACAAAACGCTGGTGCAAGTGCTGACAGTGTTCACATTCTAAGTAAAACCGGAAGAAGAAAATATCACGGTTAAGCGAGATAAAATATGGTGCGACGTCCTTGCATTTTACAAGAACTTTGACAAAGAAAGACAGAGAAAGAAGCTTTCACTGTAGAGGTAAAGAACTGAAACATTCTTTGCTTTTGTGAGAGGTGATAGTTGAAACAGTTGAAAACACAGCAAAAACTCATAATGTTTGCATTAAACTTATTAAAGTTGTAAGAGATGAAGAAAGTTAACAGCACAGGCAAATCATTTAACTGACATTTTTTTCGACAACATGCACCATTTTCTTATTGAGATTAATTTGTTCCTTTGTGTTTTATTTATTTGCTACACAAAGAGTAAAAAGAAACAAAGACAGTGAAATTAAAGGCAAGGAGGCCAAATTTGTTAATTAGGCCCACTCAATATTACTGCAATTTCGGAAGCTGAGGCTGTTAACACTTAATCCGACAAACTTGATGCTGTATTGTCTTCACTGGTGCAGAGATAAGCAACAGTACTGGTATTTCAGATTTCTGCAGCGGTTTCAATACTGGGTTACCAACAGGACCCATGGTCTGGGAACGCAAAGTGAAGGGAATTCAATTGCCTTCACAACAAAAACAGACAAAGTCTGTTCTTGGAGCTGTACTCTTCCCCTCCTACAAGGCTCTCCTTCTACTGCAACAGCAACGTCTAAGTGCTCTTTTAAAAGGGAAACAGGGGAGAAAATAAAATATCCATCTTAAACTTAATGTAAACAGCCAAATAATACTAGACTGTAATAACCAAAATTGTTGAATGTAGTATCAAAATACTAACACATTTCTAGGTATTAGGCCTATCATGACGGTGTGCCGCTGCTGCAAAGATGCTCTGCAGAGTCAGTGAAGGCACTTTTTGATAGCGAGGAAACTCGGAACAACCGAATTTCTCTGCAGACTAACCATCAAGAAGTCGATGTGTTTTGCCAATCCAGTGACCATGAAAGGACAATGGTCATTGCTTTTGACAAGGGATCAAATAGTCCAGCAGAAAAGGCCCTTCTGAAGAAAACCGCCTATAAAACAATGCACCTGCTACCTCTCCCTCATCATCCTATTGATGCTGACATGAAAACCACCAGCAGAAAATTGTACTGGGAGGTTAATTCAGTGCAGGTGGAGTAGATAGAAGATACTCCGACATGCACATTGTTGCTTCCTTTGCAACCAAGCTTGATGATGCCACCAATTAATTTTCCTTACTTACAAGAACCACTACCTTTATTCTCTTGCCTTATCCCCTGCGTCCTTTTACAACGACCACTTAATAGAGCGTTGACTGGATCAGTGTTTGTCTTAATTTCCATGACAATGAATCAAATATTGCAATATCACTGGCTGCTACAAATTTTCAACACAGAGTTTTAGTATTAAGCACAAGGTGACATCGATCACATTCTTATTATTAAAGGATCGCTTCTGCGTAAAGCAAGACTTGTTTCTCTAGCAAGGAATTTAGCCTGTGACATTTTAAAATTGACACAAAGGTTTGTCTCCTTAAACAAGAGAAACTCGGGATTTGTTTGGCTTCTTGTGCAATTTAGTTGTGCTTCCCAATGTAATATAATGAGGAGTTTCAATTTTTTAGAGGGTTTAGCGGGAAAAACACACGTCACTTTATCATTAAACTGGATGTTTCGCAAAACGCCATCACGTGCCATGGTCACTGAGTCTGTGAAAGGCCTTTCCGCCTTGACCAAGGTACTGTTCATGGTGGACCTGCCAATGTGGTGAATAACGATTATTTTGCATCCTTTATCTATTCTATACAGCATAAAAACTGGGCCTTTAAACATTACTGTCTAACATCGTTGAATGCAAACAAAGGTAACTATGAAACAAGCAGTTCAAAAAGTTCAAAGTAACGAAAAATTACTCGACTACAATTCCACGAAGGCCGGGACTGTCTTCCAAGATAAAAAGGCCGCAGAACTGCATCGATTGGCTAAAGTCCACGAAAGTCCCGCGGTCTGCC